CTTGCTCCCCAGCAACCAATTAGTTCCCCTCCCTTAAGGCAATCACACTTATTCATTCCTTGTGTATACTTTTAAGGATATTAATATGCATATGCCAGTACAAATATGTGTGTGTATATGTATGTGTGGATGCATGCATATGGGCTTTAAAAAATATAAATGATAGTATTCAATACATACAGTTGTGCTCCTAAAGCCTTTTTCACAACAATATATGTTGGAGAGCTTCCTTTGAGGAGAGTTACAGAGTTGCTCTTCTTTTCTAAAGACTGCATAGTATTCCATTGTAAAGGTGTACCATAATGTATTTAATCACTCTTGTATTGGTAGACATTCAAAGTATTTCTAATATTTTGCTATTACAAACAGTACTATAATAAACATCCCTGTCTTTTCACCCACATGCATTTTTAAAATGAAACACTACAAACGGGCCTAAAAATGGCAAGCTGCACGTTTTTTGGGGGTGGGGAGATGGCTGCGTTGGGTCTTTGTTGCTGTGTGCGGGCTTTCTCCAGTTGCGGCGAGCAGGGGACTACTCTTCCTTGCAGTGCGCGAGCTTCTCATTGCGGTGGCTTCTCTTGTTGCGGAGCACGGGCCCCAGGCATGTGCGGGCTTCAGTACTTGTGGCTCGAGGGCTCTAGAGCGCAGGCTAGTTGCTCCGTGGCATGTGGGATCTTCCAGGACTAGGGTTCGAGCCCCTGTCCCCTGCACTGGCAGGTGGATTCTTAACCACTGCACCACCAGGGAAGTCCAAGCTGCACATTTTTAAATGGTGCTTTATCTGTTTGTTAAGTAAATTTACCATACTTTACAAAAATGTTTTCCTATTATGGACATTTAGATTTCCTCTAAGTTTCCGGTATGAACAATAAACTTCAAAGAATATAGAGACGTCTTTCTCATATCTTCAGCACTACTTAAAATTGTAAATTCATTTCTTTTCATTACTCCTGGAAGGAACTAAGTAAGGAAAGTATGTATTTTTTCTGGCAATTTTATTCTCCTTTTAATTTAGTGAGAGATTCATCAGCCTTCTTGATACCAGAGATGTTGATTATAGGGCTTTCAAATTTCTTTTGTACTAACCTATACTTCTGATGCCTTTCAGGGCCTAGAGTCTGGATTGTAAATTCATTCTCTGGCTGATTCCTCCATCATCATCATCATCATTACTCTCAATTTTATAAGTCTATTAAGAGCCTTATAAATAATATCAGATGTTTAATTTTCATCTATCCTCCCAGGTCCCAGTTTCCTGCCTTAATTTATCTAATTTTTGTCTTATTCTTTTCTAAGATTCTTAGTACTTCTCATCTCTACACAAGTGCCTTAGTGAAAAACACACGGATTTTAAAAAAAAAGATCTGGTTTTAAAGTATGGGTCTGCCACATATTTGCTATGTGACCTTTGCTAAGTTACATTCTCTGAGCCTATAAAATGGGAACATATAATATCTATCTTGTGAAATTAGTATTGAATCACATATATAAAGATAAATACATGTATCAGCTCCTACACGCAAGGCTCCTCCTACACTTCACATTCATTATGTCTACTCTTAGAGTAGCCGCCACAGGAGAAATAGGAAGGCCAATACCGCAGACTATGAGAAAATCAAGGAGATGATAGTATGAGATGGATGTGGTGTAGAAAGTCACCAAACTAAGACCTGAGATTTGAATTAGAGGAGCTGAGAGTTGTGGGTGTTGGTAGGTAGTGTTCAGACAGACCAAAAAAGCACGTATAAAGGCGCTGAGGTCAGAAAGAGCTTGGTACAGTCAAGAAATTATAAGAAGTAGAGACATTTAGGACCATACAGAATAAGGGAGAGAATGAGAGCAGATGGGGCCCACAATGGTATTTTGGGAGGCCCTATTGTTGGCCTATCCAATTTCCTTATCTTCTTCTTTCCCAGTAAAGAACCCCTAATTGTATTGGTCAGACAACTGAAGAGCCAAGCCCGGTGGAGTATATTATGAGTTTAAGCCAGTTAGAGTACCCTCATTATCCTCTGCTGGTGACTGGTTTAAGAACCATAATGGGGCCCAGTTTAGACAAATAGGATATAAGGGGAAGTCTGCAGAAGAAGGCCCCTAAGAAGTGTTTTCCTCCCACTTTAAAAGGAGAAGGAGCTAATAGAAGGAAACTCTATCTTTCCTTTCTGTTTTTGGAGATGGTTGTGTGTAGATGTGATTATTGGAGCACTTCCTGCCATCCTTCTGCCATGAGGAAGACACTACTGATACACTGGGGATGGCAAAGGGCTGAGACCTTAAAGACATCTTTAACTGCTGAGCCAACTCTGGAACTGCTTCGCTCTGGACTAATTTACATATTAGATAATAAATACCCTTATTGATTAAGGCGCATTCAGTTGAATTTCTATTCCCTGCTGCTGAAGGTATTCTACTGATTATAGTTGTGGAAGGAGTAAGATCATGGAGAGCTTCGTAGATCATGCTAAGTATTTGAAATGTAATCCTAAGGGTTATGGAGAACCATTTAAGTCTTTTGAGCATGGAGTGACACAAGATAGGATATCTTTTCAAAAGGTCACTTTAGTTGCGATGTGGATAATAGATTGGACAGTGGCAATTGTGGATGCAGGTGGAGCAGATAGGAACTATTGCAACAGGTCACACAAGAGAACACAGTGGTTTAAAGTAAGTGGTGGCTGGCCATGGGAATAGAGAAAAATGAAACAATTCAAGAACTGTTGAGAGATATATTGGAGGCAGAACTGTGATTGGGATTGATTGAATGTGAGTGAAGACAAGGAAGAAATCAAAGATGGCTCCCAGGTGTCTGGACTGAGCTACTAGGTAGATTATGATGCCATTTACTAAGAGAGGAATAAACAACTGGAGGTAGAACAGGTGGGAAGTCACAATAATGAGTTCATTGTTGGCGGTGTTGAGTTGAAGGTGCCAGAAGCAACCAGGTGATTATATCAAGCAAGCAGGTGGGCATTTGAGTGCCTAGAGGAAAGATAAAGAGTTTGGAATCTAGATGGTAACAGAATCTATGTGATTTTTGAGATTCTTAGGTAGGGAATGAGTGATCAGAAGGGAAAAGATCCCAAGACAGAATCCTACGATCCCTAGCACTTAGCTTTTCCATGGAGCAGGGGAGTCCAGTGAAGGAGACTGAGAAAGAAGGGCCAGAAAGAAAGAAGGAAGGCCAAAGCATGTTTCTACAAGGAGGGAGCAGTCAGCACTGACAAATGCAGTTGAGAGGTGAAGCAAGAAAAGGACTGAAAGGAGTCTATTCGATTTATCCACATAAAAGCCACCCACCACTGACACTGATGACGAAGCAGTTTTTGGACAGATAAAGTGGTCAGCTCAGAACCCAGGTTAGATGGCATAATGATGGAGTAATTAAGAAATGAAGACCTAAAAAGTAGAGAATCAGGTCAAGAAATTTGGCCTTAAAGAAGACATAGTGTAGGAGCTGAGGGAAATGTGGGACCAAGGGAAGGTTTTTGTTTATCTTTTACAGGTAGCAATAGCTATCTTTCCTTCACTCCTATACCCAATTCATTAGCAAGCCCATTTAGGCTTTTGTCTAAAATATATCACAAACCTGTCCATCTCTCACCTACTACCCAGATGACTCCCTGGTTTGGGTCATTATTATCCTCACTTGGATTCATTCAGTAGCCTCCTAACTGGTTTCTCTGCTTCCATTCTTATTTTATTCCTGTCTTTTCCAAACCACACAGCAGTGGAATTAAATCAAACATGGCACCTGAAAAAAAAAAAAAAAAAAACATGGCACCTGGAATAAAACCCAAGCTCTTGGTCTTGCCCTGTAAGACTGGGTATGATCAGGACCGTCTCCTACCTCATCTCATGCCATTTACACCCCTGGTCCCTCATGCTCCAGCCCCACACCCTGGTTTTTGTTGTTGTTCTTGCCTTGCTCACTGTTCCCAGAGCTTAGCAAGCTTCTTCCTAAATCTCTGAGTGGCTGACTCCTTTTCATTATTCATGACTCTACTCAAATGTCACCGCATCCAAGAAATCTTCCCTGACCTTCTTACCCTCCCCGCCCCCATCCTCACTCCCTGTTTTATCTTCTTTTTGGCTCTTATCAGCTGAAATGAACTTGTTCATTTATTTATTTATTGTTGATTACTTATGTCTTCTCATTAAAAGTAAAGTCTGGGGAAAACTGGGTGAAGTTTATAGGCTTATTATGTATCATTGTTTGTGTGTATTGCATACGCATATTATATATTACCATGGATTTTTTTTAAATAAAAAGAGCGTGGGGCTTCCCTGCTGGCGCAGTGGTTGAGAGTCCGCCTGCCGATGCAGGGGACACGGGTTCGTGCCCCAGTCTGGGAGGATCCCACATGCCGCGGAGCGGCTGGGCCCGTGAGCCATGGCCGCTGAGCCTGCGCGTCCAGAGCCTGTGCTCCGCAACGGGAGAGGCCACGACAGTGAGAGGCCCGCGTACAGAAAAATGAATAAATAAATAAAAATAAAAGAGCATGAATTTATATATCCAAAAAAAATGTTTTTAAAGTAAGTTCTGTGAGAACTGGGATTTTGTTTGCTTGTTGGGAACTGTGTCCCCATCACCAGAAAGGAGTCTGGCATGCAGTGGGCATTAAAGCCTTATTAAATGCGTGAATTAATAAATGCTATATTTGGTCATAAATATTCAAAAGAGGATGGAGGGGGAATACAAACAACAGCAGGAGATTCTAAGGCGACGAAACTGGACGGGGCGGGGGTCGGGAGGGTCCTAGGATTTTAGAATCCCTGTCCTAGCGTTAGGATTCGAATCCAGGTCCCAGAACTCTTTCCACTACTGCATGCTACCTCTCCATTTATGCAGTGTTGATTACATGACGGAAGTGGTGATTAGCACTTTCTTAGGAGACGCTCGTAGATCATCTTTGTGGCCTATTATGATTACAACAGTGCAGGACCCATAGGACAACCACCTTACAAATGGGTGTTCTCTGACTGCCTTCAAACGGGACCACGCCCTCACTTTCATTCACTTGCTACAGTGGTTCGCAAGGAGGAGGCGGGCGATTGCTTGGAAGACTCACTGCCCGCCCAGGTCCTCAGCTCTGCAGTTGAGGTGTCAGGTTTCAATCCTCCCAGGGCCACTGGACGTCGCGGCGTGCCCGGTGCGGCGGCCGCCTCCGCCTCCAAGCCTAGACTTAGGCAGCGAGCGAAGGCTCACTTCAGACGCGCGGCCGCGCACTCGGCCTGCCGCAGACCGAGGCTGGGTCCCGCGGCGGAGGCTGCTTCGGGGCTGCGCTGGCTGCGCGCTCTGGGCGGCGGCGATCGCGGCTTGGCCGGGACTTACTTCCTCTACCGCAGGACAACAAAACAAGCCGGCTGCAGGCACCGGGCTCTTGGCAACGGTCTGGGCCGTAGGCGCAGCGATGGGCTCCGTGCTGAGCAGCGATAGCGGAAAATCCGCGCCCGCCTCGGCCACCCCGCGGGCCCTGGAGCGCAGGGGGGACCCCGAGCTGCCCGTTACGTCCTTCGACTGCTCCGTCTGCCTCGAGGTGTTGCACCACCCCGTCCGGACCCGCTGTGGCCACGTGTAAGTGCCAGGGGAGCTGGGTTTGCGCGCCCACCCCCTGGGGAGGGCGATGTTAGCGGAGCCGTTGGGGATCGGGGGGTTCAGAAGCCGGCGCTTGAAGGAAACTGCTGCAGGGAGAGACCTGGACCCGTCGAGTGCGGACCACGGGGAAAGTGCCCTGTCGGAAGGTGACACAGGATTTCAGGAGGAGAAAACAGCAACAAGCGGGCCCTGCAGCCGCCGTAGAGCCGCCTCCTCCCGCAGCCCAAGTGCGGAGTCCCTGGGACGGGAATTCCGGGCGCGAGAGCCGCGGGGAGCAAGGGCTTGCCGGCTGAGGAGAGTGCGCTTGGCTGCAGAAGCAGCACCCGCCTGGGCCCAAGGCAGGGGCTCCCGCCGAGCGCAGTTCCCGCTCCACTCGGTTAATCGGGCGGTGCTTCCTTCTCCGCCCGGAACCGGGGTCGGTTTTGTTTTGCTGGCTCTGTGCACGTGTTCTAGAACGCCCGCGAGGCTGGGCTCTTGAGCAAACAAGGATCTGTGCAAACTGTCCTTCCATCCCCACCTCCCTTTCCCAACACAGACGCCCAAACCCCTCAAAGATCAATCAAACGGGAACGTGTAAGTGACTTGCTGTAGTCGTTAGAGTTGAACAAGCCGCCAGGGCTGGGTCTGCGGCTTGAACGTTACCCCCAAGCCCGTAAATGCAGCAGTTAAAAACACAGCCAACCGAGTGAAGGAGGTTGCAGACTACCTGCCTTACGCACAGCCTCCCCACCGCGGTAGGAAGTAGAGATAAAAATAACTGTCTTAGAAACCACGTACACACCAACTAAAACTCGCTGTTAGCGCACATCCGTGGTAGTTTCTAGGAAGAGTTTAAAAACAAAATCCCTTTATAAAATTGGCACGTCCTTAACGTGTGCCTGAGTAGTAGTAGGGGTTGGATCTGTGAGTTTGTGTTCTATTTGCTTAAAAGCTTTCTTCCCGTGGATGCGTGGGTGTGTGACTGTGTGGGTGAGATTGGTGGGGGGCGGGCGGGGGAGGGGATTGCATAGAGCATGAGTGGAAACCCACTTACTGTCTTCTCTGGACCGCTGACTAACTAGTTTGATGAAGCCCCGAGGCAGTAAGTGCTTTCTGGCTTACCAGGAAAAAAGAAGTGTCATAAATCATGAATGCAAGTGCACAAACCGTCTTTAAAAGGACTTAGGTGGTCCTTGACACCTATAGCTTAGTATCTGAGAAGCAGTTTTCAATACTGAAAAGCCCCCCAGAGAGCCAGGGAGAAAAATCTGCAGCCCACACAATGTTTAAAGAAAAAGTGTCCCTGGGCATTCTTTTGTGGCCATATTTTCAGGGCCTGTTGTTTCAGCTCTGTACTTTAAACTCAAGGCTAATTTAGCTCCTGTCTGATTACTGACGTTGTTTCCCAGCTGTCCAGATGTAGCTCATTGACGTAATTCCTCAAGGCCAAGATGGAAGCTAAGATGTTATTGTGTTATATGAAATACATTGATTAGTTCAGAGCAGTAATAACCTCAGGATACCTAGCCTACATTTAAATTTAGTCTGTATTAGTATTAAAACTTTTAGGTTGCACCAAAGACACACAGTGGGCCTCAAGTCTTGGAAGATTTTCTTCAGTAGAACTGAACTGGGCAGCTTTGCTATTGGAGATTGTTATCTGATTGTTTTCCCTGGTTTGGATTTTGAATGCTATAACTTTGTGCAGTGTTTTGCTTCTGCTAAAGAGAAATATAAATTTGCAAAATGTTGAATCCTTTGTTTAATCTTTTTCTTTGTTAGAGTGAATAGGAAACCAGCAACTGGAAAAATAGTCGTGAAGTAGCACAATAAGGGCTGGACAAATTGCCTTCCCTCACTTTACTGTTCTTTGTTTTGACAAATCTATGTCCATTGTTCTGGCCGGGGGCAGAATTTCCATATTCCTACTTTTGGCAAATTTACTTGGGCCTCTTCCACTTTGTAAATGTTAACTGGAGTCCCTTCTGCTTTTGGGGATGGTGAGCCTTCCTAACACCGTTTGTACTTCCTAAATGAATTACTCTCTTCCATTGAACTTAAATTGGAAAATGAGGAAATGCAAATGAAACCTCTATATTATCCCATACTTAAGCTTATTTCCAAACTTGCTGAACTAGGTTGTTTATGCCAATTTCTGTTTATAAACTAGTTTCAAGTCAAGCAAGTATAATATGGCAACATACCTTGAATGAATATGTATATATGTATTGTGATGCAGTAAAACTGTGAGAGCTTCATAGCCACTAACCAGCTGTGTAATCACCACTTTGGTTAATCTTTTTGAATCTCAGCTTCTTCATTTGTAAAATAAGGTGAGTAATGGAATTTTTATGAGTATTTAAAGTGTAAAAGTAGCCATAATATAGGCTAAAAACATTTCTTTTTTTGTTGTTGTTTAACTTTTATTGGAGTATAGTTGATTTACAATGTTGTGTTAGTTTCAGGTGTCAAAACATAGTTTCTATTTCCATCGAAGTCATTCTGTAAAGCAAGCAAAAACCCATGAACAGGTTTTATTTCTTTAAAAAATAATTAATTAATTTACTTTTGGCTGTGCTGGGTCTTCGTTGCTGTGCGCGGACTTTCCCTAGTTGCGGCGAGCGGGGGCTACTCTTTGTTGTGGTGCACGGGCTTCTCATTCTGTTTTCATTGCGGAGCACAGGCTCTAGGTGCTCGGAGTTAGGGAGTTGTGGCTCTCGGGCGCCACAGCGTAGGCTCAGTAGTTGTGGCGCACGGGCTTAGCTTCTCTGCGGCATGAGGGATCTTCCTGGACCAGGGCTCGAACCCGTGTCCCTTGAGTTGGCCGATGGATTCTTAACCACTGCGCCACCAGGGAAGCCCCCAGGTTTTATTTCTTATCTCTATGCTTCTTTTGGAATAAAACTGGGCCACAAAAGATAAGTCTATGACATTTCCAAGATGTCCCAGATAGCCTTACTTTTAGCTTAGTTCTTTTTTCATTTGGTGGACTTTAATTTAAGAAGTTCCATTTTAATGTCTGTTATTTCAAACTGACGTTATTCATATCTCAGTATCAGTTGTAAAAGTAGATTTGGGGGAAAAGACTTCCTACCTCTGCCTTTTTTCTATTAACAGTGAGCTGGGAAAAGAGGGAGTAGATGAGTTGAAACTGCATAAGGGAAACTAAAACGGAATCTGATTTACATTTAAAAGAAATATTCAAGAAATTTGGTATGGTATATATCGAGGGAGACAAAAGTCGAAGACAGAGATACAGGGGGACAGAGTTTAGCTCAGGAGGAAGTTAATGAACTCACAATTAAGCCTGTTGAAAGTACACTAGTCTGATAGGGAGACATCTAAATGGAAATGTCCCAGAGGCACTGGGAAAGTGGGTTTAGGGACACAGCTCAAGGCTGGAGCTAAGGGAGTTACCAGAAAGGGTCAAGAGGTTGAGAATGGGCCTAAGAGAGCTAAATACAAACCAGAGCAGACCATACAGTACAAAGAGCCACATCGCCATAGACCTGAGTTGGGTTGAGTTGCTCCAAGTCACAGAATTTGCCATTTTTTTAAATGAAACTGTTGAAGATAATTCTGAAGTGCTTTCTGGTAAATGGATTAAAACGTTCCATTTGTGGTAAAGTATGAGCATCAAATTCATGGTTCTCTAAGTAGAGTCTGAGGGTTTCCTGATGTGTTTTAAACTGACCCAGAAATAGACATCAGTGCTTTCATTCTTTTTTTTTTAATTTTAGTATATTTTATTTTATATTAAAATTTTTATTGAGGTAAAATTGACATATAACATTATATTAGTTTCAGGTGTATGGCGTAATGACTCAATTTTTGTAAATATTGCAAAACCACCAAAAGTCTAGTTAACATCTGTCAGAATACATGGTTATAAAATTTTTCTTTCTTGTGATGATAACTTTTAAGATCTACTCTCTTTTTTTCCTAATTAATTAATTTATTTTTTTTTGGCTGCGTTGGGTCTTCGTTGCTGCACGCGGGCTTTCTGTAGTTGGAGTGAGCAGGGGCTACTCCTCGTTGCAGTGCGCAGGCTTCTCATTGCAGTGGCTTCTCTCGTTGCAGAGCACGGGCTCTAGGCACGCGGGCTTCAGTAGTTGTGGCACACGGGCTCAGTAGTTGTGGTGCATGGGCTTAGTTGCTCCGTGGCATGTGGGATCTTCCCAGACCAGGGATGGAACCGGTGTCCCCTGCATTGACAGGCGGATTCTTAACCACTGTGCCACCAGGGAAGTCCCAAGATCTACTCTCTTAGCATCTTTCAAATAAGCAATACAGTATTATTAACTATAGTCACCATGCTGTATATTACATCCCATGACTTACTTATTTTATAACACAAAGCTTGTACCTTTTGACTCCCTTTACCCTTTTCACTTACAAAGCCCACAGTGCTTTCATTCTTACAGGAGGTATGCAATCCCAAAGACTTCTTTTTAACCTAAGATTAAAGCTACTTATCCTATTATTTATTATAGATATTTATACATATTTTCTATCAGTGAGGATTCTCCAGAGAAACAACCAATAGGTTATATATAAATATATGGAGAGAGAGAGAAAGAGAGATTGATTTTAAGGAATTGATTTACATTATTGAGGATAATCACTCTACTTGAAGTCAACTGATTATAGATGTTAACCACATCTACAAAATACCTTCACAGCAACATTTGCTTAAGTGTTGAATTAAACTGAGTACTATAGGCTGGCTAAGTTGATACATAAGACTAACTGTCACATCTTTTCAACAGGCTTTTAAGGGTTATTAAAATCTGGTGATAAAACCAAAAATTAGATCATTATCAGGCTTCACTAGAAGACACTTCAGAATTCTCTTAAGAAGCCTGACTATCAGGCAGCATGCACACACCTACATGTTGCTCAAGCAAACAGTAGGAATCCACAGTTTTCTTAAAATTAAAATCATTGTTCATTTAGCTTTATCATTTTAGTTTGCTGTGGGTTGTTTGGTTAGACCCACC